TAACTTCATGAAAGAACTATTTCCAAACTTCCACTGTGCAGAATTTAGAATCCTTCCCTTTGCCACTAGCAAGTCCCTTCACCAAGAAAGCATTACACCAATTTGAGTGCGGTTCTTTTTGCTGGTTGCTCCTGTATCTGCTTCTCCAGAAGTACACGCTCTTAATTACTGCATAAGCTGTCACCCTACGCTACCTGGTAAAGCTGTCTAAAAACAAGCGTAACACCAGACATCTTCTGTAAGAAAGATGCAAAGAATACAGCATTGAGCTAACACATGCAAAAGAATCTCTTAATGAAAAAGCTGTACAGGGCAAGTTCAAGGCATCTTTGAAGAACTGACAGCATGAAGGCTGTTCCTTTCTGCTTTGCATAATCACATGGGTCATGAGTAGCTTTCCTTCTTTCTGCTGAGTCTAGGAACTGGTGCCCGTGATAGGCAGTGTATGCTGTCAAGGACATGACAGGGCAGTAAAGTGGAAAAGGATACAGAACCGTGCTTTGGCATCAAGCAGTAAAAGCGTTGAATTTATTTATGTAAGAGGAATGACATGCAGAGCTACTGCAGAACCGAGGAATAAAGGAAGGCTCATTTAGTATCGCTGCCCACTGCACTCCTGCTCCTCCAAGCCTTAAAACCTTGCAGTAGCTGATGAAAGGAGGGCCAGTTCTTTGCTGCTACCTGCCGCTTGGAGCCTTCAGTAACTGCTTGTTTGGACCAGTTGCTGTTGAAGCACTCCATACAGTTCAGATCAGATCAGCTAGGCCTGTTCTACAACTTATCAAACAGAAGCAGCTGCAGCTTTGACTGTAGTTAGTGGGGGTGACAACTCCCAAGAGGTACTAAATTTCACTTTAGGCTATTACTGATAATAATTGCATAAGAGTCACCATACTCACAGCAAATAATCCCCAAAGCAATGCTTTTGAGGACATCTGTATAAATAGGAAGCGCTTTACTGCTCATATTGCTATGAATTGCCATACGACTTCATACTGACGTGGCACAGAGCGTAAGTAAGTTCTCAAACTCATTACCAAGGTGCACAGACTCATCACAGTCAGCCTGTCACACTGCATCCATCGGGAACAGACTACAGCCATTAGAATGGGAAACGCAAACAGGAAAACACAGTGAAGAACATCCTTAGAGGGAAACGTGCTCAGAAATAAAGACATCCCAGATCGCAGTTGCAACCGCAAGCTGAGCCAGACTACGGGTAGACGGCTGCAGAGGCGGCCTCAACTGTGTTCCTCCTCAAGCTGGAGACTTGCCACTGCTCGTTACTGTAACTACAGGTGAGTGCAAGGCACACGCATCTACAACAGAATACTGCCCAGCTGCAGTTGTACTTTTCAAGTTGAACAGGGCAAGGATGGAACTCATTGTGAAAGTCTTGGAGTGAGCTGGTAAAGCAAGGGACGTTTCCTTTTACTGTGATACAGGGGAAGATGCTTCAGGTAGAAGCACAAAATAAAATGGTACCCCATTCTGGGGGTGGTAGGTCCACTTATTCCCAGAATGCCTCATGCTGCTATAATAATGAATGGAGCAAGAATAAATAAAATTACTTGGCAATCAATTGGTGCTGAGGCATTAAGCCTTAGTTACTGCAGCAAGTTCAAGGGGCCTGTTAAAATAAAGCAGGAATCTACAGCAAGATGAGTTAAGCCTACAGAATTAACACTCGCTGCCCCTCTAAATGGACATTTGTTGGTACAATGTTTACCTACCCTGCCATACACCAGCTTCCATTTAGAGATGCAGGACCACCTGGCACTGAAGCCGTTACACAGCATGGCCTCAGACTGGTTCCCTCTTTAGTCTTTAATAGAGTGGTCTCAAGGAAGCTGTGTACAGGTGTATGTAAGTTTCTTATAGCCAAGATAAATCAGTCTTTCCAAATAGAAGCTACCTCAAGAGTTCTGCAAAAGGCTTTGTGTGCTGTTATGCTCAATTCCAAAATTAACTGCTTTATTAGCTTTCTCAGAAATGTATGTTTTCCTTTAAGTTTACCCAACTCCTTGGCTACAGGGTAGACTAGTGGGTTGTAGGTTTTACTAGCTTATGAATCTGCTCAGATGGTGATGCTGTAGTCCCAGAGTCAGCTTGTAACACTTTTGCTGAAGTGTTGTGTCCCTACAGGGGCCATCACCACTGACAGCACCAATAGGCCTTGGAGAGCATCATCTGGGAGCAACCATGCTGGTTCTGCCATTGCAACCGACCACTAGAAGTACAATTCCTAGTTGCAAACCCAGTCCCAGAAGGGTGTGAGAGTTTGATCCTTCCCAGTGGCAGACAGCTGGACCATAACTAGATGAAACTCTTCAAGTGTAAGCCACTAAGCGCACAGCTCTTGGTGCACCACCTGCAGGTACAAGAGGAAGCCAGGCAGATGCAGTATCATACTTTGAGCCTTTGAAGTATCGCTTCTCTCGATAACCTTGTGGAAGTAACAATGGGCAACTCATTTACCAAGAGACCATAACATCAGTGACTCCCTTTCCCAGCAGTTTGAGAGAGCTATCCCTGAAGAGGCATTAACCACAAGCTTTCTTTGGCTTTAGTCTACAAGACAAGAACACCAGCTTAGCTAAGCGCAGACCAGCTGTACCAGTAGAAGTGACCTAGTTTTTACATAGCATTTCTCAATCACTTTCTAATGATGAACAGGTGCAGGAGACTTTCTACATGGAATAGAAAAGTGCACAGTTAGCAGATACTATTAGGTGTTTTGTTCATGAATGATGCTCTACTACCTACTGTAGATGTCAATTTGATGTTAACTTCGTTTGATTAGTTCAAGGGTAGGGGCAGTAACAGACATCCTTTCCCACCTGATACTCTACAAGGTCCTGAGTCAGTTGCTGCCAAGACCATCACCGATTTACAAAACATTATTTGTAGGCTCTTCCCCTATGCAAGTTACAGAAGTTGCAACATGCACCCTCTGAGCTGGGCACAAACCCACCTGATCATTTGAGTGTGCTTTGCAATACTTTTATTTGCATGCTTTCCTAACTACACCTCACTAAGTATTTCAAACAAGAACAAAAAAAAAAAGTCTGCTTTACTTGCAGTTTTCTAGAAGAGCCCTGAACAAAAACGAAAGAACCCCATCCCACTCAGATGATGTATTTGAAACTAAATGTGCTATCGCAGGAGAGGCGTTTCCCTTTGCACCTCCCACAGAGGTCCTGGCGGTGGGGCCTCTTGGGATCCACGTGGCGCATCTTCACGGGGCAGGTGCACCTCGTCTGCTTGC